TTTGTCTTTTTCTTGGTTAAATCAGCTTAATGGGGAAAAGGAAAAAAACTTTTTGAATTCGATTGGACTTCAAATGACTAAAATTCATAGTAGTCGGGCCACTTTATTTTCATGATTTCAAGTGCTAAACAAAAAGCTCGTTTGACCAAGGTTTAGACTAAAGTCCCTTAATAATCCAAAAATTGCATTGTAGCAGCTCTTTAACCAAAAGAGCAACAAAATGTTCTTTTCCTTCAATTTAACAAGTTTTCAGCTTTAAGATCTAATTTTACCACATACAAACCTCACACTTTTATTTCAAAAAAGAGCTCTAATTTTACCATAAATTTGCATCTCATTGGAGGGGAAAAAAGAAAAATCAACAAAATGCTTTTTTCTTTTTTTTTTTTAACTAAAGCAATGTGTAAAGCAAGCTAATGCTTAAAGACCTATGGGCTGAAGCACCAAAGAGCGAATTCATAGACCCGCTGAGCTTATAAATTCCAAGTCATACACAACCTGCCTGAGGAAACAAATGTAGATTCTATTTGCCTGTTGGGCAGGAAGCCCTTTCTTGAAGTAGCGTAAAATGCCTTCTCATTCACTCATTGCAAAAACAGCTAAAATCAGACAAACAACATGTGGTGCTCTAAACCATGTTTCCTAGTTTCGGAATCTGAGGTGCTGGAACCATTAAAAAGATCCAGTAGAAATATGTACATGCCAACTTATGACTGCCTCTCCTTCTCAAAGCTTTTGCATTCATGTTATGGGACGCTCTTTCTACAGCCAGATACTAAGAAAAAGAATGCACTACAATTCTGGATCCTTTATAATGAAAGCCCAGTGGCAAAACAGAAAATGGAGAACAAGGAAGAGTCAGTGAGAAGGTAATTACCTTTCGATTCAGATTTCTGGTCATTTCCTTTAGGAATTTCCTTCTTTTCCTTAGGGTAAAAATTCTCATAATCTGCAAACATTTAGGAAACGTAGCCAAAAGCTGTTAAAATCTAAACCAGTTTAAAGCAAGTAGCTTGTTTTGATAAATCACACATTGCTCATAATTTACACTCAATATCGGCAAAAAAGAACAAAAAAAATCCTTTTTACCAATGAAGAAAACAACCCCATGAAAGCATTTTTTATTACTCAAAAAATAATTTCTTACGTTTCACTAAGACAATCAATCAAACCACTTTAATGCTAACCATTATAATGCCAAGCTCCTTAATGCTTAAACAGAGAGGTTTGCGAAATTAACTCACTTTTCTTCTTGGGGGTTTCACTAGAGAAAAAACGATGACTTCTAGGGTTTGCAAGTACATAATTCAAATCATATAAATTAGACTTGGAAGCGAACTCCTTCTGAGCTCCAATCGAACCGAAATATCTTCTTAAAAACGCTGGTCCTCCATCGAATTCATCCACGCTGGAAGCAACGCGGACCACTCCTAGTAACGCCCCGCTCGAACTCGCCGATCTCACACCACCGGTATAACCGTATAAATAACTCTGTTTCACACCCAACCCAAAAAAAAAATTACAAAAAAAAGAAACCAATAACTGGAATAAACTGAGAACTTGATACCCAACAAAGAAACCAAATTTACCCAAAAAAAAGCCCTTACCTTCGAACGAGAAGATCGCGATAATGATCGACCAATCCTAGAAAATATCATTATGCCGATACTATGGATAGGAAAATCAGTATTTCAGAAATGCAAAATCGAATAATTACTCTTCTATTGAAGAAGAATAAATGGGTCGAGATCTAAAAATTCAAGAAATTAGAAAAAATAAAAGGGGAAATTATTTTCAAGCCTAGGGTTTATATTGGATTCTAGACTATGTGGTGGTTCGTTTGTGGATTAGCATTAGTATTCGAAGAAGCCATAATCAGGGGAAGTTGTCTCCGATTGTGATTCTAAATTTCTAATAGGACTCAAATGGAGAAGAGGATCACGAAGTGGGGACTGTTTGGGGCGCGAGATATTTGTAGTAACCGGCTCGCTGGGTTTTTAGGGTCAGAATAGGTCTTTGGTTGGGTTTGTGTTACTTGCCAAACAAAACAAATCTCAGCCCATTTTGGCGTCTCCCTTCAAGCCCAAAAAGATAAATTTTCAGCCCAATAGGCCCAATGGACTTCATGGGCGGACGTGGGCCACATCATATTTTACTTTCAATATTTGGGCCAACAACTTAAAGCCCAATTACCCGATTTCTGGTTTCTATCATTTCATCAGCAAAACTCCGTAACATCTCCATCTACCATGCTTAAGTTTCTCAGTGTCATGGCCTCATGGTTCCCCTCAAATGCCGTCTGTAAAATCTAGCTACTTTCTTGGTTTGCACAACAATGGAAGCACCATCGCTTCTTCTCCACTCAAAGACAATCTCATTTCCTTTTTCTTTTACAAACAATCAAAAACTTTCTTTCAGGCATTTCAACAAACACGTACAGTGCCAGTTATCAAGTAGTAATGCCAACAGCTCTCGGCATCGCCACGACCTTAAACGAATCAAGGCCTCATCGAATTCACATTTATCTTTTTACCCGTTACAGTTAGAATTACGAAGAAGAAGGACAACTCATTTGTGGTCTGCTCTAAATTGCTCGTATTCCAGCACTGCGAGCCCAGATTCCGAAACCTCACTAGTTAAACGGTTCAAGAACATATTCTTTGATTGGTTGAAGAGAACACTTTTCGAGTTAACTCCTTTTGGTATCGCGAAGTTAACGGTAATCTTAGCCGTTTCAGTTGCAACCACGAAATGGGCTGTGAACTTGCTCTTGAACCCGTTTTTCTGGATGTATTTTAGCTGGACTTGGTTATTCTGGCCCTGGTTTGTAGCTACGGCCCTTGCGGTTTATGGGTTGTACTGTTTTCGAAAGCATTTGATTGGTGAAGCAAGCATCTTCGAGCAGCTTGCTATTGTTTCTTCAGTTTTTACTTGGCTGACGCTGGTGCCGCCTGCCTTTTTCAATGGATTCCTTGAAGGATGGCCTTTTGTTTTCTTCTTCGTCTACCATTACTTCTTCTTCTTCAATGTTAGTGTGAGAAAACGATTGTATGGAGATTACTACGTGCGCCCGCATGATCCAAAGTGGGACGTGAATGTACCCAAATGGCAGCAACTTCTGTTCTGCGTTGGTATCATGGTTGGGCATTGGCTCGCGGCCTTTGAAGGGCCAGAGCTGCATCTTGTACCAGGTGGGTGGAGCAATGTGGGGATTTGGGTTTTGATAGTGGTTACTCTGCTAATGCAGTACAACTCTACGTTATATCTTGCAAAGTATTCAGAGAAAGTGGTGGTGCCAACGGCTGTTGTGCAGTTTGGACCGTATAGATGGGTCAGGCATCCAATTTATGTATCTACAATGCTTCTCTTTATGACTTACTGTGTTGCTCTTCGGGCGCCATTGAGCTTGCTATTTGTTACGGTGGTTTGCTTGGTTTATTATGAGCAGAAGGCAAGACTTGAAGAAAATTTGATGGTGGAGACATTTGGAGACAGATACTTGGAATATGCAAATAAAGTGAGGTACAAGTTCATCCCTTTCATCTATTAGCAGTGGCAGCTAGGCAGTTTTATGCAGAATGATGGACTGATTTTACCCAAAAATAGCAATGAACCTCTGCAATGTTGAATGATAAAGTGGATGAAATAGATGTGCACTTGACAGTTATTTTTCATGTCTCTTTTTTCAGTTTATTTGCAAATGACTTCTTAGTTACTACTTTATATGGGTTCTACACGTACTTTACCTCTATATGGGTGAGCCGTGAATGAAAATTACCTTTGTGCTGAGACAATCAGTTGCATAATTGACTTACTGCATTATGACATCCCAAATTCTTTTAAGTACTTGGCAGCCCTGAAGATATTGAGTATATCATTAACATCTCTATACTTTTTATCCTTTGAACTTGGGTGCAAATACTGACGTGGTATTACAGAAGTACACTAGCCGCAAAAGGAATTACAATAACTAGGCATAACAAGCTCATGCTGCTAATGAGCTTATGTAGCATCAAATGGGTTCATGGCCCAGGGCATGACTTCAGCTCATGCTATTGCCAGTCTGACTTGTGAATTTCGATTTCTAGTTAAATGAAGGAAAACAAAATTAGTGATTATTATGGAAGGAGAATACATAAGGAAGAAACATGTTATGTAGAGATATTGTTGGGCAAATGAAGTGAAATCTGTAACTTACTGGAGGATTGTCAAGAATGTACAAGGTTGGACAGAAGTGCTGAGAAACAATAAGATATTCAATTTGAGGGGGTTTTTATGATATGTTTAGTTATTTCTAAGAATCCAATGTATCCCACCATATTTTTTTGGTAATACATATTCTACCCATTTAGTAAACTATAAAAGTGATAGACCCCGACGCAATCAAAGAATTCTTATAAGCAACTCGAAATATCTGGGTTGTTATACACCCAAGTAAAGCAGTTGAAGAAGTGATCTGCAGAACAGTCCGCAACCAAGAAAATAGACCCAGAAGCAGTCTAGGAAGATCCCGTGATCCGCTCCTTCTCTTATCCACTTGCATTTCTAAATTTATTTATAATTATCTACATCTTTTATGTTAATCCAGTACCTTAAAAGTATGAAGATATCGTTGTAATAAGCTCTATTTAAAGTACTTCAATTCAACAATAAGGACATGAACAATTTCCAAAAAATCTTAGTATTTTCTCACCATAAGCAGAAACTATCTCATGTTATTTTATAACTTTGATTGGGACCTATCATTGGTATCAGAGTCAGGTTCAAAATGACCACCAACAAGAAACGCATTGAAAATCTTGAAACTGGCTTCGGAGGATTGCAAGACAGTTTTAGCCGCATAGAGCTTGGATTGACTGACAAGATGCGATTAATTGGGGAGAACCTCAAGTGATTGCCGACACGATCACCTCCAATCGGGAAGGATCCAGCAACCACCATGTAAGCCGCCCAAGCCCGCCGCCCAAGCCCACCGCCCCTGCATTGCGAAGAGAGATCCGAGAGGGACGAAGGGAGAACCTTCTATTCCAGAGTAGCCAAGCTGGAATTTCCGTCATTTGCCGGCAATGACCCTACTGAGTGGCTCAATCGCGCGGAACAATTTTTTGACTTCCAAGCAACTGCACCACAACACCGGGTTGTCTTGGCGTCGTTCCATCTTGAAGGAGAAGCCAACTGCTGGTGGCAGTGGCTGAGCAAGAGTTACAGGAAGAAGGTCGGTAATAGGCTGGGCCACATTTGAAGAAGAATTATGGGCTAGGTTTGTGCTAACCGAATTTGAAGACTTTGAAAGCCCTCTCATGCATCAAACAGACTGGGCCGCTAAGGGAATATCATAACGACTTTGAGCACCTAGGCATCCGAGTCCACGGGTGGACCCAAAAGGCCCTAATTGGGACCTTCATTGGCGGGCTTCAGCCGAACTCGCAGATGGCATCTGCATGTTTCGGCCCAA